ATGGGAATAGATCTCATCACACTTAAGGCTCCAATAGAAGCTCATCTGTCGACGACAATATACCACAACACTGCCCTACAAGATAGTCACTGTGTGAACCTCTATGAACACAACGACGTGTCATGTCACAAACCATTGAGGCTCATGCTCCTTGGGACACACTATCGACATGCCTATAATGAACTATAGACGGTAGGGATTCCTCCAGCTTCCTCAGCTCCCCTGGTTTCGTGTCCTGAGTAGGCTACTAAAATCGCCAGGCAGACCTAGTCTCAGTTTTCTCAGCACCTCAGTGACGCTAGGAGCCTTCATGTGATCAGCCACAGGCTCCAAGCCAATACGCTCACATGCCTCTTGTACCTTCTTCCTGACGGCCAACTTCTGCTTGCCCGACAAACACACCTGCGACTCGACCAATGAGCCCCACTGCAGTTGGAGTTTTTCGTCTCTCACTTGATGCTTGAAGGCCTCTACGGAAAGTCTGCTGCCACATCCCGTCACCATGGCCTCCGCAAAAGCTTGTCCCGACTCCTCTCCCATGAGACCATTGACTTCAAGGCAACCTGTAAGATCAACCCGAAGAACAAGAAGTAAGTCTCCTGCTGAGCACTCACCGACATATATCCTGTCAAAATACCGCTTATATCTCTGCCTCTGCAGTATGTTGCTGCTCAGATTACCCGACAAGAAGTGTATACGCACCTGATATGTGCCGAATCGAACCTCTAGACTAGCCGATGGTCACATTCTGGAATCCGGGCGGTAAAAGCCGCTCCTTGACGCCCTCAGTGACTCCAGCATCATCATCGACTTCCTCCACAGTACACCTCACTCGCTCCAGCGGGCTCTTATACCTAGGATACACAAAATAGCAACATATCTCTGTCGAATTTTAACGGACGGAATGCTTTCGAAGGAGTTCTTACGGATAGGAGTCTTCGTCTTTGCTTTTCGGAGGCAATTTCTTGACCTGTCGAGTGGCGATCTCTGCCAATATGCATGCGAGATTAAAATCAGCAATCTCGTGGCTGCTATGAACATATTGCTCATTCGATATCTGCACGTGAGAAGACTATCCCCAAGGTTGTCCAACTTCAACCACTCGCCTTGAACAGGCGCTCTTGATCACATTTATTATAGGCCTCGGCACCGAAACACGGGAAGGGCGAATTCACAATATCGCCCCAAAAACCGCGAACCTGACATCATTTCTATAGGCTGTTCAGTGCATTTGCAGTTGCGTCGCATGCTGTGCTAAAATATATGATTACTTTTCCCCAATAATTATAGGAGTTTACATACGAATTCGTCTAAAAGTTCTCACAAAACGACGGAAATTTGCGAAAATTTCCTCAGAATTTTCATACTGTCACCAACACATGTAGTTGACCATGTGCATATTTTTCCACACTGGTCGCGTGACCGCAGTGCAAAGCTGACGCTCTCAGCCAGATTGAAGACCTCACACTAGTGTCGGAATATATGTTCGCTCTCCTCATCTGCGTCTAGAAGTTTCCTCGCTAATTATAGGAGTTAACGTACAAATTTGAGTAGAAGTGTGCAGAAACAATGAGAATTTCCTCAATTTTCTACGAAAGTCACCTACACATGTAGCTGACCATGTGCATACTTTCCGGCAACCCTTCACACACAATACCTGCACGCTGGTCCCTCGAGAGCGGCAACGGCCATCCACATAGCTAGCCATAGTCCGATTCGGTTCATCATAAGTTCCAAGCCGTGTCTCATAACAAACACCCGTTAGCCCAAATGACTTGTACTCCTGCCATCGAGTGACAACGCTCTACAGGGCCAAGATGTTACCTGCCAGTGTACTGCAGGAGCCATGGGCTTGATTCCATTATGGTAGTCCCAATCTAGGAGATTCTTCCGGTGGTCGTATCGTGTCTTGTAATAACCCCTCAGACGTTGGTCTCTCAGGCTCCTCGCATCGAACTCCACCGACTCCCCCCAGAACCCTAATAGAAGGGCTCAAGAAGCTCAGCTCGAAGGCTTGAGTAAGAGCGACCAAGCCTGAGATGGCTAGACCCAGCATCCTACCAATGGCCTCATGGACATCATCTCTGTCCCTAAACTTGAGGGTTGAGAGATCAATGAGTTTGCTCAGACCTAGAAAGCAAGCGGTTCGGGAGAATACCATCAGAAAGTCTAACACACACCACTGAGAGAAGGATCGTCTTCAGCATCACCGCTGACCAAGGCCTGCAGTCGACCGACTTGCTCGCCCAGATAACGGGCATCTTTCTTACGAACCTTCGCAAGGGATCGAGATATGGGGATCCGGAATCCACGGCAAACACAGAATTACCAAACCGGACCGGACACGCGTCACCCACCAGTGAATTTGCATACAAGGAGAGGAAGAGCTCGCAGCGTTCCCGAATAGTCAGTGCAGGATTAGTGACGAGGTCCAGGAAAAAGATATGCCGTGCGATGGTCTCCGGAGACGACTCGTGCACCTGCTATCTGTCCACGCCACACGGCACTCTGAAGCCCACATAAAAATGCAAAGGTGGCTCGTCCACGTGACGCCTAGCCACAGTCTTCAATATGTGCCTAATATCCCCAGCGCCCGCCATCAGAATGTTCACTGCCTGCGACGATGGCCGTTCTAAGATAGCCACTTTATAGTCACAACACGAGTCATGCTCGAGCTCGCACCAGAGAGTTCCGTCCTGTGTTCTCCAAGAGGTTCCTCGATGAGGTCACAGGCAAAGCTGTTGCCCCAGAACTGTGTGAAGCCTATGGCCTCGCTGACCTCACCAATGTGCATGGAGGGCGGGGCAGATGCCAACGAGAAAGGAATTGACATCACACAGCCGTAACGCTTTCATCACACTAGAATCGACGGTCACTAGTAGAGTAGTGAACTAAAGACGTACAGCGGGGGTCGTAACCAAGCCACAGGTCTGCAATAGCGGCCAACCTGTGAAGCTTTGCTAATGGCGCCGTCAATGTCCCACTGCTTTGACAATGGTCTTTCGAAGACGAGCTCGTCATTGTTTAAAAGCTTGTCGTCCATGCCATAGAGTCGCTTCGCTCCGCAGTGGGCGTAGGCTATTGGCCGACGCACTTGCATGTACTCCGGTTTTTCACGGCTTGAATGGCCAATACAACGTATACAAGAGTATCGAAGCGCACCACAAGACGCTCGTAATCCGACTCAGTGTCAGTAGAAGCAAGACTAGAAGACTATCTGCCTCCCTGACCAATAACAACAATTAGTGTACCTTGACGGCTACCCATAGACGTCCAGCTCGCTTCTGCCTCGCAAAGTTAGAGCAACATCGCTGTTCTCCACCTCCCAAAAGTACATCAAGTGCTTCTCTGTGTGGGAGTGCCATAAACAAAATGGGCCTGTCAAGTAACAGAGATTTCAGATATCGGACTACAGAGATATTCAAGGGTATTGGGAGACCCACCAGGTAGTCCCCAAGGCGCCGGTACGAAACAATGGGTTCTTCCCTGCGCGGCCGTTGCTAACAGTAGGCGATCCATGATGGTAGTGCCATCGACGAAAACAGGACTACCGAGAGTAGCCATCGCATAGTTAGATCTTCGACGGAGGACTATCCCAAGTACAAGTATTTCCGATTGACCAGAACTAACTCAAGACAACACCAACACTGACGTTAGTGGCCTGATCCGAGCTTGATCCGAACCACCACAACCTCCGGCGACAAGTACTCTTCCTTCGCGATGCAAAGTCTTCCCCCGGATCTCGCCAGAGCACAGAAATCGTCAACGTCGTGTCGAGCGTTCCGAAGGGTGATTGCGAAGATTGCTTCTCCTTCTGGCGCCAAAGCTCTTTCGAGCACGCGCACCAGGCCCGGCCACACGAAACGGTTGCCGTAGAGAATCTACAAGAGAGACCACTATGGACCATGTCACTCAAGAGAACCAATAGGGCCGCTATGGATCACACCAATCACGAAAATACTTGACGGATAGAGGCGCTATGCTCACGATAGAAATGCAATATGTGATGGCGCTAGAATTTACACAAGTCACCTTTTGAATAGCCTCCAGACTGTCTATGAAATTTCGAGTTCTATACAAAGTACCGAAGAGTAATTCATCTCCACTGGAGCAAGAGACGCGAGTGGGAGAGCCATATATTGATCGTACCTCGCAACAGACGATAACGTCAATGCTTCCTTCGAGCTCCGCCGGAAAACTATCCTCATCAACCCAATCCAGCGCCAAGGCTTTCGCCCGACCTTTGAGACGAGGATTCACTTCAGAGCTGCAATTGACTTCGAGGAGAGGCAGCAGTTCAGGAAGGTCCGACACGAACACCTAAGCACACACACCTTTGGGCTGTCCGTCTACGAGGAAGTCAGCAAAACTGAGGTTTCGACTAACTTCGGGCGCATAATTCCGGAGCGTGGACCGACGATATCCATCGACGCCTTACCTCAGCAGCGCCATCAGCCGCCAGAGCAAGGGATGTGACACCCGTACCCTCGCCGAGCCCTAGTATTCGTAGACCCTTGTAACTACATCGGTACTTCGCCGCCCAGTTCAAGAAGCGGATCTGATAATCATCCACAAGATGTTGTCCGAACAAGCTCCCCAACTCACCGCTGCGTCGAACCACAAGACACTCCCGAGGGATTCGGAGACAGATTCTGGTAAACCATCCACGAGCTCCACTGGAGGATGAGATTTCTGTCAAAACAATGAGCTCGGAAACCTCGTTCGAGAGCTCACCCTAGAGCATCTTGAGTGAGAACATATTCCCTCAGTGTAGGTTGCACCATCAAACGCCGAGTCATCCACTACGTCAAAGTTGACGACATGAAAAGGATGACCACGGAATGTGAAACGGCTACAGACCCAGTCCATAGTCGCTAATTAGCAGGAATAGTAACCAAGGAACTACACAGGAAAAACCTTCACATACGATGCTGGGAACTTCAACACAACATCATAGCCGTCAGCGAACAGCAAGCGTAGCAGTCATTGAGACATCACCAAGTCATAGCACACTTGGCACTCCCAGAGCACGAGCCCCCTCCGAGGGCCTGCTCAGTACCAACCACACCGCTCCTGCATTAACAGGACCGAAACCCGAAACCTTTCCACCAAATAGTATACTGCCAGCGTCGATTGACCTATCGTGTTGCTTCTCTTGCCACGAATGGGCGGTGTATAGTACAAAATCTGAGGAGATGCTAAGACCTGCCTGCTCCACTCTGACCCGTCAGGGTCAGTGCCGAGCCTAGCTCGGAATACAAGAGCTTCCGAGATCATTACGCCCCTGTAGCGAACGGAGAATATCTGCCTCTAAACTCTCGCTCTACCCGTTGCGTGCCCTGATCGGATATTGTGGCGAAGTCCTGAACCCTTCCCTGTCGGAGACGACACGAAGGTGCCCTCAAACATCTAGAGAGACGCCCGCCCCACCATGCAAAGCATTGATGACCGCATAGATTGAACGAATAGTCTAACACCTCTGTAGTCCGTGAGTCCTCAGCCGCAAGCTCCCTGATGACTCCGAGTCTCGCCCTGGCTAGGTACTGCCTGAGTCTTCTGGGCTGCCCTCACGAATCCAAAGACACATCGACTTCCCAACTTTCAGCAGTCATCTTAAACTCCGCCATTATAACTTGCTGATGCTCATATATTGTCATCACGTCAATATCGTCTCATATATTGTCATCACCTCTATATCGTCTCAAATATTGTTGCGATGTAGGATACTTCCTACCCTTTCATCGGGGGGGGGGGGGCTCCCGACTCGCCTACCATCTGGATACTCCACAACGGGGGCATGCTAAGACGCTACCTCAAACAGAAGGCCCTGTCTAGGATATGCTATACTGAGCATTGACTCTGTCTAGGATATGCCTATACTGAGCATTGACTCTGTCTAGGATATGCCTATACTGAGCATTGACTCTGTCTAGGATATGCCTATACTGAGCATTGACTCTGTCTAGGATATGCCTATACTGAGCATTGACTCTGTCTAGGATATGCCTATACTGAGCATTGACTCTGTCTAGGATATGCCTATACTGAGCGTTGACTCTGTCTAGGATATGCCTATACTGAGCATTGACTCTGTCTAGGATATGCCTATACTGAGCATTGACTCTGTCTAGGATATGCCTATACTGAGCATTGACTCTGTCTAGGATATGCCTATACTGAGCATTGACTCTGTCTAGGATATGCCTATACTGAGCATTGACTCTGTCTAGGATATGCCTATACTGAGCGTTGACTCTGTCTAGGATATGCCTATACTGAGCGTTGACTCTGTCTAGGATATGCCTATACTGAGCATTGACTCTGTCTAGGATATGCCTATACTGAGCATTGACTCTGTCTAGGATATGCCTATACTGAGCGTTGACTCTGTCTAGGATATGCCTATACTGAGCGTTGACTCTGTCTAGGATATGCCTATACTGAGCGTTGACTCTGTCTAGGATATGCCTATACTGAGCGTTGACTCTGTCTAGGATATGCCTATACTGAGCGTTGACTCTATCTAGCGTTGACCCCCGTTGTTCTGCTAGTCTATCCAAGCGACCACGTACATTCAGGCACTATGATCCCTCGAATCAGGCATAGCATCGTCACAGGTTGATCGTCGTAACTTCCACTCTCGTCCTCCTCAACACTGACGTGTGTGAACCTGGAATGGTGAACAGCTCATTGGAACAGCTATCCCAATAACAAGCAAGTCCGGTTAACGCACTATGGAATTCTTCGCGACTACTGTCGACCTTCTAGGCACACTGACTCTACGTGCTCTGGCGCTGGAGGTAGCCTTCGAGCGCGACGCCGGCCCGCCCTTCCCACTCTGTCCTTCTAAATTTGAGGTGAGAACAGACCCGAAACAGTCTCATGGGTTCCCAATGAATACAAACCACAGCAAAGAGCAGCGCTCCAGTCATCATCCAATATCTCGTCGTCGAAGATCGCGGTACCGCATCACCCCCTCCCTAGAACCTTCATGTGACCAATGAGCCTCGAGCTCTCCTTCCAAAGCTACTGCTGTCCTTCATGCCATCGAAACTGTCTACCTCGAGCTGCAACCATTCATGGACCCGAGAAAAGAAATATAGCTAAAACCGGCTATCGATTTCGCACCATGAGGGAGCAGTCTCAATTACTTATAGTGCTAAACCCTACAGAATCAAATTGCTAATGTAGTAATTGTGCGTAGTGCAGCAATAGCATCATCCTTATGGGCAGTCCCTCATCACTTCCATTTCCATCGGTAAAGGCAAGCTCCTCGCTATCACGAACACAATCATCGTTACCGACTACAACCCAAACGTGGTTAGTCTGCGCTCCGCAGATACCCTTTGGTCGGACTTGGGGAGGACGACTCTCAACATTCCCCGCCATACAAGGACCAGACCTACGCTACACTCGCTACGGGTGAGTTCAGTAACGCGAATTTTAGGTAACGACGACTCGGGCGAGGTGGTATCTACTTCTCGACAATCTCAATGTTAATCCCCCCCCCCCCCTCGCGTTTCCTTCCGCTCCCCTCCGCTGCGCCTCCTATACCTGTTCTCCCCCATCCTGATCTTCCTATACCGGACTCCAGTAGAGGCAGAGCTCAAGGGATGAAGGGCGGCACCGTGTATGCCTACGATTTCGAGGCTAATACCCATAGCGGCGTTGTCCAAGGCAGCCTTCATCGTTTTGGAGGCGTCATCGAGGATGGTACCGTCGACCACGATCTGGTTTTAGGGATCAACAACAGATGCCCTGAATGGGAAATACTTACCGATGGGCCTATTCAACTTGCACTCATCAAACGGGTAACAAACCTTGGTAGTGATTCCTGGTAAGGAATCGACGAGAGTGAAATCCCGGACGACAGAGGAACACGCAGTAGAAACCTTCACAAGGAACACGCGAGAAAGTGCTTCAATAGACCTTAGACTGATCACATGCAATAAGATTAGTGAATTGATATAAATCCTGTGGGGGATCATCAGGTCGTGCTTTCGTCATGGGATTTCAAATACAAAATCTCTGAATCGTCAGTAAGACTGCACGAAAATTGCATGAACAGCGCAGGTTGCCCTGGGAGCGACCAGGTGGGCTACACTCTCGCTGGACTGTCCGCAACGCTGTCCGCACCGCACGAGATGCGATGATAAGATGGCTCCGATATGTAGCTCGACTACGATCTGGTTTTAGGGATCAATAAACGGATTTGTCACTATATTATAGAGGCTATTCTTCCGCGCACAGCAAGAGTTCAATATACTGGGATTGCGTACATTCCGAGTGATAGGCGGAATCCGAATCCGAATGCGATTTTCAAACTCGGCACTTTAACACGAGAAAACGCGCTCGTGCTTCAAGCTCGAAAGACCACCTGGAATTCGGTTCATCCGACGACCCGCACCTTGATGCGTGGGAACTCGGAGAAAAAAATAATTCCAAGTTGGATCTCAGATTCTTGCACCAAGACATGGAGCTCGGTGAAGCTGCGCACTTTAATTGGCTCCAAAATTCATATACGGCCTCAGGTAAGACTCCTGTGTCACCAAGCCAGAGGCAAGAGTGCTCGCCCACTGAACTTGTATCGTCTCGGTCGGTGAGTCACTTGCAGACGTTCTCAAGACTACAGGAACCCGAGATGATCCCGTTGTCCCATGCAATATGTCATCACAAATTGATAGGAAAATCATTAGACTCGCTTGGGAATTCGCGTTAAACACACTCCGGCGAGATACGTTTCACGCGGTGCGTCTCCGTTGTGGACTACGCCGGACCCTCCCCACTTTGCTACGAAACTCCGTCGAGCTTGGTAACAGATCGCGTGTTTTGCTTCCTACATTGTATTTTCCCTCAGCTCGTCACAGTTTTACTCTGATGCGTATCGTGCCGATCCGAATCGGGTCATCCGATGTTGGCACTGAAGTCCAGTGACTGGACGCTCTGTTCTGTCTCCGGCACGGGCATGTCTCGGCTGTTCTCACATGTCTCTTGGCTCGCCCTTGAGGTTCTCAAGTTGAGGACGAATGACGTGTAGCGGTGCCCCACGTCTACTCTGATAATGCAAAGTTTTCCTACACTCATCCCTTCCAGATTAGTCTTCCGATTACGTCGACTATCGCCTCTCTAATTCCTCACATCGAATTGCTCTCTCTCTCTATCCAGTCTTCCCACAGTTCCTCATTCTGTCTGATGCGTATCAATACTGCGCTCCCTGTTGCCATCCTGTGCGATGCTGTCATTGCTCAGAATAGCACCATCCTAAGCCTAAGGTCTGGTATCAATCAGGTTGACATCCGTCATCTGCCCCAAATTCTGAGGGATGCCGGTGAAACCCCTGATCAGAACATTGTAGCCTTTTTGGAGGCCACTGAGATCACCACTTTGCAAAATGTTAAAACCCAAGTTGTTCAGAGTTCAGCTGCCACCATCGACAGCAACGAGCTTTGCGACTTCGTGGCTAAGCGAGTAGCAAGCTATCTCTGCAATCTCAATGTGCAACGGATGCCACTGGTAAACTTCACCAGGCTTCACCAGGTGAAGCCTTCGGGGAATACACTAACGATTTGCACGTGAACGATGCCGATGCCATGTATCAGGG